CTGTTGGAAGACTTAACGCCAAACCATGTTTTTGGTTACCCAGGCCAGACAGCGCTGTTGATTACCCCAACATCGCTGTTGGGCTTGGTTTAGCCAGACCATGGTTGGTTTAGTCACGTCGTTAGCCGATGTCAAAAACGCAAGTTCTCCAAAATAAAAACCAAGTTTAGAAAACATTTGTTTATTGCATTTTGCTAAGAAATCAAGTAAAACATCTTAAAAACCATGTCATTTAGTTGAAAACCATGGCTAGCCAAGTTCGTGCCGTTTTGCATGGTTTTCACTAAACGACCAAAAACGGAAGGTGGTTTTTGAGGCGTTTTTGTTGGAGAACTATTTAAATATGCCCAGAAGTAAAGACCAGTAATAAAAAGTTAAAAACCCCTTGGTTGGTTCGGACGCCAAAAACCGATGCCGAAAACCGAAAGCCGAACGCCGGTTTCTGAAAGCCGAACGCCGGATGGCTTGGTTTTTGGCTTGGGCGAACTCCAAGTGTTTTGACCCAAGTTTAAACTTTAAGAAAGGTATTTTTGAATATGTAAAGGAGTTTTTTTATGAATTAAGCCTAGAGAGCCAAGATTTGGAATTTTGTGCCGGTCTTGATCACATTAAGACCGACTCAATACAATTCTAGTTCTTCGTTCTTGATTCTGGGTTCTTGGTTCTCAAGTCATCATCATTAATGAATTGAGACGCCGATATCAAATGGTTCGGCACATAATGTTTTGGTTCCTGTTTTGGTTCATGATATCATGCACATAATGTTCATCATCCATTCTGTAGGAGCCGCAGCCCCCTCCACTGAGACGCCGAAACAGGAACGGATACATCATCACCTTGGCCTCTTCCTCCATTCCTTCCCTATATAAAGAACCCAACTTCACCATTTCTTTACCATTCATCTTCAAGTTTGTTCTAAAAGATAGCCTTGAGTATGGAGAATGCAGTGGTGTTGTTAGTTTGGTATGAAGTCACCGGAGATAGCCACAATCCTCGCCGGAAGTTTCGCCGGAAAATCTTCAAAACCTCCATTACGCTTCGAGGTAAGCCCGTTGATATATCTAATGACTAGAATGTTCGTATAGATCGTTTCTACGTTCATAAACGGTCGTTTGGTTGAATTTTGTGTTTGACATGCTTGAAGAACCATGAATCATAAACCATGAAATTGATGTTAAAACTATGAATTAATGATGTCAAAATGATCTACGAACCTTGTAGAACATCTCTATATAGTTTCGTTGAAGTTCGATGACTAAAAATGGTATTTCCGAAATTGGACCCGTAACGAAGAAGACGATGAACAGTGGCTGAAAATACCCAGGGAGGATCGATCATCCCTCCTGGATCGATCCAAATGAGTATTTTCTCTACGGAGGATCGATCCAAAGTGCTGGATCGATCCCCTGACCTGTCTGATCCGAAAATTTGTCTGAAAATGCTATTTTTGAGTTCTAAAATCCTATTTTTGGTACCAATTGATTATGATCATTATAAAAATGATTTACCACAATAAAAATGATGTTTTTAACAAATAAGAATGTTATCTGATGCATGACGGTAAGTTCGGGTGTTAACACTCGAAGCTAGACCGCTAATTGTTGTTGAATATTATGTTTATTGATGATTATGGTAATAATTATTGGTTGATGATTATGATGATTAAATCTTGATAAATGTTCTGATTAAAAATGGAAATTATGAATGATTAAATCATAATGAATATATTGATGATTGTGAAAATAATATGTGTTGTTAAGGGTATATAGAAGACCTCTAAGATATACCCATATTAATGTTGATTTGAAAGGTATCTAGAAGAACTCTAAGATATACCTATATAAGTTAGGCCTTGCGGGTATGATGCCCGGTGGCTAGGGTTTAAACGTACGTACGGGATCCAAGAACCAAACTTGAGTACCTACTCGTTTGGGGGTACCACCCACTCAACAGTGAACACTACGCTGTCGGTTTTTGGTTGGCCTTAAGTGAAGGTAAGTTTAAGATTTCCAAAACCCTTTTATCTTAAACTAGGCCTAGCTTAAGGATTATTAGGAGTACTCTGTATACTGGAATATAGTTTAATTAGTTAAACTAGAATTCATTTAAGGTTGACAAATATTAAAGTGATTGGCCTTAGACTAAGAATAGTTTAAGGATACTGTTGAATGACAAATGATG